CCTAGTTATGACTGCCTGTACTCAGAGAACTTTAAGATCATATAGTTTAACCTTCTGGGGGGTTGCAAATGGGTCCAAAAATCCTATACTGTGGACCTCATTTTTCATTTCTCTTTCATCTCTCGTTGGTATGTGCAGCTCAACATCCTTTCCTTACCCTCCCATGACTTTCAAGGCTATTTTGTTCCTTGATGTGTGTTTAATACATAGTTTTCCTCAGCTTTTATAGTACTTTCCTCATCTCGTCACCACCCACTCCTTCTAAATTCCTCTGACTTCGTTTGACTCCCCTCTTTCTGTATCCCCAGTACTTAGCACAGTGTAGGTACATAGTAGGTGCTAAATAAGTTTTACTGGCTAACTTTTGACTGGGACGGATACACTTTTGTTCAATATTTCTCACTATAGTGTGTATGTATGTATATACACACACATATACAAATGTATATGCGCATGTGTGTACATATATACACACAGAAAGAAATCCTTCTTGCATTCTGGACCCTTCAGAATCAGTTCCTTGAATGTTTATCTGTTTCCTGCCTCCTGGCTGGAATTTTTACACGTTAGTTCAGACCCAACACTAAATACTAAATCCTTAACATGACCCAACTCTGCCATCTTCTTCAGCTCTCTCATAATAACAAATTCTTCTTCTTGGCCTAGGTTAACATTAGTTTAGTTACATCAATATCCAAGATCCCAGAGTTTATCTTTATTGGTATAATCAAAGCAGCCGATACCATAAGACTGATTTTACTGAAATGAACCATAGAAAACAGTTCTATCTTCACACGGTCTGTCCCTTAGCAGTTTTCCTTTTCTGATATATTTGGACATTGCTTGGATTTCCCTTCTTTTGAAACTTGGTACCATTGAAAATTCAGGACTGTGGTATCTTTTTCCCTCACCAGCAGTGAGGTAGGAAGATTACCTGTTATGTAGGCTCAAAAGATGACATAGTTGCTTTGAGATTCGGACAATTGGACATGTTTGCCACTAACTGGCTGTATGGCCTCTGGAAAATTACTCTTTTCTCAGCCTCAATTTCCTCTATAAAATGAAGGGATTGAATCGATCCTCTCTAAGGATCCCTCTCAGTTGTCAAATTTCTGATATGATTCTGGATGTTCTGAATACGCTGTCGGTATTAAATTCCTGCTCCAGGACTTGGGTATCTAACAAAACATAGCAAAAAGCTGTTTTCTTTTGGGTGAGGTGGAGTAACAGCTTCCACTTTGAAATAGTATTTCAGTTCAGGGAAAATCCACAGCTCACCTTGCCACTCCCTCCCCCTCCTCAGTTGAACTTCTGTGCTTAACTGATCCAAGCAAAAGAAAGAATACTTTATTGATCCATGGTCCCATTCATCATGGGACCTTTAAGGAGACTGTCTGAAGAATGGCAACACTCATCTTTATTGTCATAAACTTCTTTTTCATTGGGTCATGGAAACTTTAGTTCCATACAAAGTTCTGGTTCTTTTGCTTTAAACACTCAGCTGCTCTTTAGGTCTCTTTAGTATGGATCTATAACTCACGGCCACCTTGGTCCTGTGATACTACATGCTAAGTCCTAGATGAGTTCTCCAGAGCGAAGATAGATAAGGTACTGAAATTATGTGATAACACAGATATTATCAGAGTCAAGAAATATTTATTGTGCCTACTGTATGTGTTTGTGTGGGGGAGCCCCAGGCTGGGTCTATGGGGACACAGATACATAGACCCTCTGAGTTGGAAGGAATCTCAAAGATCACCTAGTGTGCCCTTGCCTCTTAGAAGCATGAAGTCCTGGTGTGTAAGTCATAGTTCTTGTCCCATAAGGAATTATGTGGGGGAGAGGAAAAGGAGAGGTGAAGGAAGGGAGAAAGTGGAATTGGTGTGTAAAATCACGTGCTAACCATCGAATGAGTGGGAATAGAACACAAGTTCAGAGAAAGGAATGGTCACTCAAATCTGTAATACTTGGCTAAGACTTCATAAGGGAGGTGGGTTTTGAGGTTAGGTAGTATATAAACAAGTAGAGGAGAGAGAAGAAGGATGTTCTAAGCTGGAGTAACAGCCTGAGAAAAGGAGAAGAGACAAGAATGTGCAGCACATCTTAGTTTGGCTGGAGGGAATCAGTGGAAGATACATAGATTGTGGAAAGCTTTGAATGCCGACCTAGAGAGCATAGACTGGATTGAAGGCAGTGAGGAGCCATTGAAAGCTTTTGAACCGGCAGGTGACACATGTGAAAACATATTTTAGAAAGATTAGTCTGGTAGTAGTATTTAGGATGAAGTAGCTAGGCGGTGCAGTGAGTAAAGCACTGGGCTTGAAATCAGGAAGACTGATCTTCCAGAGTTCAAATCCTACCTCAGACACTAACTAGTTGTGTCACCCTGGGCAAGTTACTTAACCCTGTTTCCCTCAGTTTCCTCGTCTGTAAAATGAACTGGAGAAAGAAATGGCAAACTACTTTAGTAACTTTGCCAAGAAAACCCCAAAATAGAGTCACAAAGGGTCAGAAATGACTGAAAATCTGACTGAAAAAATGACTGAACATCATCAGAGGTGGGGATACCAGTCTGGAGGACTCCTCTGTAATAGTCTAGTAATGAGGGGTTAAGGGTCTGAGCTGTAGTGACTGCAGTAGGAAAGGAAAAGAGGGATTAAAAAGAAATTATAAAGGAAAAATTGAAAAGACTGAAGGGACAGGGAAAGGGAGAGACAGATGGACAGACGTGTCAAGGATGACTCCAGAGAGGCCAGCTAGAGGTTTAGATAACACCAGGACATTCAAGTAGAGATGGCCAATAAGTAATTAGCTGTCTGGGAGCTAAGTGGCATAGTAGATAGAACACCAGGCCTGGAGTCAGGGAGATCTGAGTTAAAACTTGTCTCAGACACTATTACTAGCAGTGGAACCTTCTGTTTGCCTCAGTTTCCTCTTCTGTAAAATGGGGATAATAATAGCACCTACCTCCCAGGATTGTTGTGAGGATCAATTGGGACACTCTTTGTAAAGCACTTAAAGCCTCAAACGTGGTAAGGGTTATATAAATGTTAGTTGTTGTTATTATTATCTATTACTATGGGGCTGCAGCTTAGGAGAGAAGTCAGGGCTGCCAAGGAAGATTTGGAAAACCTCTAACTAGTGATACTTGAAGCCACAAAATGTTATAAGAACTCTGCAGATGAAAGTACCCTCTTTTTCAAGAGTAAAACAAGGGTTTGGGGTATGCCTCTGTGTAGGTGGGAAGAGGAAGAGGAGCCTAGCTAAGGAGACTGAAGGAGCAAAGCTGTAGGGATTGTCTCATGTGAGTCAAAGATAGAGTGGTGATTAGCACTTTGTCAAGAAAAGCAAAGACTGAGACATAGAGAATGCGATTTTTTGATGAGGCCATCTTTGGGGACTTTAAGGAATACCAATTTAATAATGGAGTGGAAACCAAATTGCAAGGAATTAAGGAACCGATGGTTGTTTGTGGGGGCCACACTGGCCCCCCCCACCCTGCTCTTATCCCCTTCTCCTTCTATTTTCCTGTAAGGCAGGATAGATTTCTATACCTCGTTGCCTGTATATCTTATTTCCCAGTTGCATGTAAAAACAATTTTTAATATTCATTTTTAAAACTTTGAGGTCCATATTCTCTCCCTTCCTTGATCCCCACCCACTGTCAGAATCACAGAATATTAATGTATTAATGTTGGGGAAGGGACCTTAGGGAGAATCTAATCTGATCCCCTCCTTTTATTCATGATCATACTGAGGCTCAAAGAAGTTAGGGCTTGCTTAAGATCACGTAAAGCGTGTCAAAGCTGGAATTAGAACCCAGCTCTTCTGATTCCTAGGATTACTAGGTCAGCGTTCTTGTGACTTTTTGGGTTCGCTTCATTATAATGAAGAAGACAAGTTGTGTTAAGAGAGTTTTATGTGGTAGTGTTAAAATATAAAGCAGAATTTTGGTAGAACAGAATATTGTAAAAACAGTATATACTAGATTCGTATCCTTAAAAGTCAATGTGTATGTGTTTTGGTTTATTTACTTGAGAATATTCAGTTTACTCAAAAGCTTAGTTTAACCACTTTGCTCATTTCCAAGATTAACAATGGACATACAAAAGTCATTTTTTAATGCATCATGATGTAGATAGACTAGATTAGGGTAGATTCAGGAAAACTTCAGATCAGATCCTGCCTCTGACACTTAGCCATGGGACCATGTGCAAATCATTGAGCTTATCTGAGCCCTAGGCAACTTATAGACAGATTATGAACTGCCTCGGTGTGGGTAGTTCTTATACCCATATCACAGATCCTTGATGTATTGCTGTATGTTTATCCTTAAAACATATGTATTTAATAAAAGAGGAAAGCCTGCTTGTTGATATATTTCAAGGATCCATGATTTCATCAATGTGGGAGTTTACCCTCATCTGTGCAAATGGAAATTCCATTGTAACTTCGGTGGCCTTAGTGAGTGACTGTGGCCAGTCTGGTGTAATGGGTCTCTCTGAGCTGGGCTGACCTGTTCCAGGGCTGGCACCTTCCTTGGCAAAGCCTTCAAGAACTTAGGTTCACCTCAGTGGGTAGGACTTGATGGAGGAAAGTCCCAGGAATAACACTAAATTTTCAGATTTAATAGCAAGGAAATAAATAACTTGGATTTTTGGAAACTATGGTAATGGAGCCCAAGCTGCAGCATCTCCAACCAAGCTCTAAAGTTTAGGTGGGATGTGTGTATGTTCTATGAGTACCACCCTGAGTGACTGGGGGAGGGCTCATTGCCAGATTGGCTGAAGGCTGGTGTCTCTTGAAAACCACAGAGGGACTGTGTCAGTGGATGGGATACCCACACCAAAGAGATGGCAGGTCTTTGGAGTGATAATGTAGGTTACAGCAAGGAGATGTTTCTTTAAGGCATCTCCTGGGAATGGTACACAGGGACCTCGGGGGATTTAGTTTACGACTAGCCCTTCAGTGCCACTGACCAGGCAAGCTTTGTGTGATAGGTGAAGCGGTACCAGTGCACCTTTGAGGGCTGCCCTCGCACCTATAGCACGGCTGGCAACCTGCGCACCCACCAGAAGACCCACCGAGGAGAGTATACTTTTGTCTGCAACCAAGAGGGCTGTGGCAAAGCTTTCCTCACCTCATACAGCCTCAAGATCCATGTGCGAGTACACACGAAGGAGAAGCCATTTGAGTGTGATGTGCAGGGCTGCGAGAAGGCATTCAACACATTGTACAGGTCAGTCCCACCCTCCCTGAATGATTGTGTGTCATCTTCTCTCTTTGGAGAGGCAGGCAACCAGGTGCACAGAGTCAGATATGGTGGTCACCTTGGTTGTGTGTTCTGTGAGACAACAGAGCAAAGATTTTGCCTCTTGCATTGTCATTTTGTCCCTTGGCTCAAGACTTTGCTGTGTGGGGCCGAGGCTTTGTAACTCTTTCTTGTCTTACCATGGAGAGCTTCTCTCAATCACACTGAGAACTGTCTGCTTTGGTTCTGAATGGGATGGTGAGGGGGCTGGAGGTGAGACATCCTGGCCCTTATTTTGAATCTTCTGCTTGCTAACATAAAGCAGTTTCCCCTTCTCACCCCTCCCCTTGAGCAGTTTTCACATTTGTCTATTCTCCAAATCTGATCCTGCTTAGGACTGTCAGGGACCAGCTACTGTTAGAAGTAAGGTAGGGGAAGGGGGAGGGAGCTTAGCACTAGAAAAAATGTAGATGCAGAAATGGAGTGTCAGGTGGCCAAGTTCAATATTGAAAAAACTGCCAGAAAGGGTATCCAGGGAACAACGCAGGTGCTGTTAGTTACTTGCTCACTGTTAATGCCAACAACCAGTCTCCTTTATGCATGTGTTGCCCTTCCCAGCTCCATATCTTAAAGGCATAGAGATATGTTGACATCCCTGAGAACAATCTGGATATATCCTGGCCTGGCCCAGAAGGGTGAGGACTAAATTATGGTAAAGAGAATTTTCCTGGCTGTTTTTCAGGCTGAAAGCACACCAGCGGCTGCATACAGGGAAAACCTTTAACTGTGAATCCGAAGGCTGCAGCAAGTACTTCACCACGCTCAGTGATCTGAGGAAGCACATTCGAACCCACACAGGAGAAAAGCCATTTCGGTAGGTTACTGAGTCTGTCACTTCAGGGCCACAGAGCTCCTGATCACAAACCAGGTTTCTACTGCCTTCCTCCTTTCAAATGGGGAGACTTCCTGTAGTCTGTCTACACCACAGTAGGAACATCTTCTCCAGTACTGGCCACAGATGTCTTGAGGGCACACCTGCACTTGTTGAGGTCTTGATGGGGATGTCTCATAAAAAGACTAGTTGTGAAAACAGCTCAAGTTTTGCTTTTATTGCTTTGTATTATCTTATTTGACTATCACAGTAATCCTGTGAAGTAGGTCATATAGTATTCATTTGATATGTGAGGAAATTGAAATGATTTAATAATAGTTAATATTTTGGTAATTTAAGGTTTTACAAAGTACTTTATACATATTGTCTCCCGTGGATCCTCCCAAGAACCTTGTTTAGGTGTTGTTACAGCCTGAGGTCACACAATTCCCCTTAGCTTATTTTGGTCAACATGGTGAACCAGCTTGACTTGATCAGGTTTGGATGGATTGACATTTCTTCTCCAGGGCCCATGCAAACAAACATGTCCTTGGTGTTTGTGCTTGGCACGATTAAGCTTTTATGTGGTAGAATTTCAGGATTATTAGAGCTCGAAGAGACCATAGAGATCCCTAAGGCCCAGCCCCCTCATTTCATAGGGAATCTGAAGGCCCAGAGAGGGGAAGGGACTTCATGCTCATGGTCAGAGACTGAACTCCAGGATTGTTGTGTTGATAGAAGTGCTAATCTCTTTTCTTTTTGTCAGATGACTCCGTTTGTAAGAATATGTTGTAACTAACCAATTTTGATTGGTTTTATTTTTATTTCATGTTTAGGGCACTCATTTGTGTGAATTTTGTAGTAGTCATCTCTAATTCATTCAAGCACGAGGTATTCATTAGATGCGTGTTATGTGCCAGGCACTGGGGTTAGAAAAAACTGAAAGTGGTCCTTCTTATCAAGGTGCTTCCATTCTTTTGGGGGTTGGATGTGGCAGACTACATGCACTTATATGATAAGTGTGTACAAATAAGTACAAAATAAAATGAAGGTAGTCCAAGGAGGGGAGGACCAGGACTTGGATTGGACTCGTGTGTGTGTGTGTGTGTGTGTGTGTGTGTGTGTGTGTGTGTGTGTGTGCGTGCGTAACGATTTCATATATAAGGTGGTGCTTGACCTGATCTTGAAGGAAGTGGTGTGCTAGAGAAGATACTTGGAGTCAAGGAGACCTGGGTTCAAATCCTGCCTCAGATAGTGATTACCTTGTGATCTTGGGCAAGTCATTTAACCTCTCAGTGTCTCAGTTTCTTCATCTGTAAAGTGAAGGGGGTTGGAGTTGATGACCTGAGATCCTTTCCAGCTCTAGATCCATGATCTTGTGATCTATAATCATGTGGTTCTGTCAGGCAGAGGTGAGGAGGGAGCATATTTCAGGCCAGGGGTGCAAAGGTTTGGGGAAGGATTATGGAGTATTGTGTGTGAAGGGCAGCAACAAGGCCAGTTTGGCTGGAGTGCAGCGTGGAGGGAGGGCGTAACATGGGATGAGGCTGGGAAGGGCTGTAAAAGCCAAGTGGAAGAGTTTTATTTTATCCTAGAGGTACTAGGGAGCCACTGGAGTTTATTGAGTAGGGGAGTGATGTGGTCAGATCCAAGTATGAGGAAAATCACTTGGGCAGATGTGTGGATGAACATATTCTCTAAAGTAGTGAATGAAAAGTCTTACCCTGTCATAAAGTCCACAGCATTCATGACACCCACTGCTAATAGAGCTTTTCTCTCCTCTGTACTCAATGCCCTCTTAACCCTGATTCCACCACCTTCTCTGAAGTGTTCTTGCTGCGTACTTAAGTCATAGGTGGTAGAAGTCCCCCTTATCTAATGGTTGCTGTTTCTCTGTGTTTAAATGACTTGTTCAGGTGTGATCACGATGGCTGTGGGAAGGCATTTGCAGCAAGCCACCACCTTAAAACACACGTCCGAACACACACTGGTGAGTTTTTTATTTATCTTGTTTTTTTTTAACTATAAATGTAATGACAGTATGATTTCACTTGTTTAGAAACGTTATCTTGTTTCTTCTTCATGCTAGCCCAGTATGTTAGGTATTAGTATTGTTTTTTCCATTTGATGGATAAGGAAACTGGGGTCAAAGACTTGCCCAGGGTAACAAAGCTAGTAAGGAGGCAGAGTTAGGACTGGAACCCAGGTCTTTTGATGCCAAGCTTTCTGTTGTTAATGGTTGGCTCTACATAATTGCGAGGAAGTAGAGGGAGAGGCTAATTAGCTCAGTCTTCCCCCATGAATATGTAGTTTTCAAAGTAAGATTATAGAACTTATAACTGAAAGAGACCTTGGAGATCATTTTGTTTGATACCCTCATTTTATGGAGAATGAAACGGAGGTTCAGAGAGAAGGGACTTATCCAAGGTCACACATAGTGGAACTGTGCTTGTCCTGACTTCCTGGGGGACCTACTATTTCTATTCTGTCCTGCTGTTTCATCAGTAATAAATATCCCCAAGAGATAGGGGGAAATGCAAGAGTTCCTACAAAGTAGAACCCAGGAAGACTTGCTCATCTGTTTGAACATTGGAATGCCAGGCTATGGTCAGCGCTTTGTCCATTCAGAGTTTACAGTGGGAAGCAGTTAGAACTTGATGCAGGAAGCTTTCCATGTTGCTTCCTGCCTGGACACCGAGTGCCCACACGAGAATCCATGTTTACTTTAGTTAGTTGAAGTGGGGGTGGGGAGCAAACAAAATCCGCTTGGAGTAAAGCTAACTTAGGGTCCAAATAACTTTGTCCTCCCTTCAGGTGAAAGACCCTTCTTCTGCCCCAGCAACGGCTGTGAGAAGACATTCAGCACTCAGTACAGTCTCAAAAGTCATATGAAAGGTCATGATAACAAAGGACATTCATATAATGCACTTCCAAATAGCGTGTCTGAGGTATGACATTCTTTATTCCCTTTCCTATACTTTGATCTCTGTGATACAGGCTACTTGCTTAGCTGCTTTGTGTAATATCAAGGTAAACGTGTTTTTTGTTTGTTTGTTTTTTAATTAATTTATTTTGAATTATCAACAATCACTTCTATAAGCTTTTGAGTTTTAAATTTTTCTCCCCATCCCTCCCCAAGATGGCACACAATCTGATATAGGCTATACATATACATTCCTATTAAACATATTTTCACATTAGTCATCTTGTAAGGAAGAATTAGAACCAACAGGAGGAACCACAAGAAAGAGGAAACAGAACACAACAGAAGAAAAAAATAGCAAATGGTATGCTTCAATCTGCATTCAAACTCCATAGTTCTTTCTTCTTTGTGGATAGCGTTTTCCATCACGAGGCCTTTGGAGATGTCGAAGATCCTTGTATTGCTGAGAAGGGTTAAGTTTATTAATATTAGTCTTTGCACAACATTGTGTACAACATTCTCCTGGTTCTGCTCACTTCACTCAGCATCAGACCATACAAGTCTTTCCAGGTTTTTCTGAAGTCAGCCTGTTCATTGTTTCTTATAGCACAATAGCATTCCATTACATTCATATACCACAACTTGCTCAGCCATTCCCCAATTGATGGACATCCTCTCAATTTCCAATTCTTGGCCACCACAAAAAGAGCTGCTATGAATATTTTTGTACATATGGGTCCTTTCCCATTTGTATGATCTCTCTGGGATACAGCCCTAGAAGTCCTATTGCTGGGTTAAAGGGGTAAACGTGTTTTAAAGCTTGTTCTTTCACCAGATTTCTGTTGATGAGAGGGTAGCAGACTGTGTCAAGATGGATGTGCCTTTTGATGGGGAAGGGAATCCAGAAATTCATCCAGATTCTGTTTCCAAGGACTCCTATTTATGTGATGCTTCATGATTTACAAAGTACCTCCCTCACATAGCTGTGTGAGGCAGGTAGTAGATTATGATCTCTTTTTATAGTTTCAGGAGCATGTTATAAATTTCAAGTGACTCACCCCGATTCCCCTTCAATAATAATGGGAAGATCTTGGCCCCCCCATCCCAGTGTGTGATGTCTGCCACTCTCCCTACTCCTCTCCTCTGATTGGTTGGGGTTCATTCTGGGCCTTTGTAAAATGAAGTTCTTGATTCTTTGCTGCTTTCATGGGGCTACTCTGTGATTTTTAATGCACTAACTTTTAAAAATATTTTTTATTATTTTTATATGTCACATATATTTTCAAATCTCTTTTTCTTCTCCTCAGAGAGGAGGTTGTAAGAATGAAAGGTGGTGGGGTGGGGAGGGGGTGGAGACAGTTCAGCAGCACTAACTAGGACTCATGCTGCCTCCACTAGTACATGTTGAGGCCATGTCCATAGTTCCCTATCTCTGAAAAGAAGGGATCCAGGTATATGTTCTTTAGGGCCAAGCTTGGCCATTACAACTACATGGCCTTCAGTGACACAGAAGGCAGCAGGTCATTGACTTCCCCGGGGCATCTGTTGGTCCTTGGTAGTCCTTCAGTTTGTCTGTGGAATCTCCCTTGTTCTGTTCATGTTTCTAGTGTGGGAGGGTTTATAAAGTGCTTCAGAAGGCTCCGATTTGTTGTGTTCATTCCCAGAGGGCAGAACCAGGAGCTGGAAACTGAAGGGGCAGATCTGTTTAAAATGAGAGCCATTCATAAATGGGCTGCTTCAGGAGATATTAAGTAACCTTTGGAGGTTTTCAAACAGGGTTGGGTGGGGACTGTCAATCAACAGACATTTTTTAAAGCATTTACTGTGTGCTTGGCATTGGGCTAAGTGTTGGGCATACAAAGAGCTTATAAGCTTCCTGAGGGAAGGGACTTTTTTGCCTTTCTTTGTATCCTCAGTGCTTAGCCCAGTGCCTAACACATAGTAGGTGCTTAATAAATGTTTGTTGATTGACCAGTGTAATGGAGCAGACAATATTTGCATAGATACAAACCAGATTCATAGAGTAGAGTAGAAGGGAGGTAAGCTTAGAGGGGAAGGTTCTAGCATCTGGTGGCACCAAGAAAGTTCTGCAAAAGCTTGTGTTTGATCTGAGTTTCAAAGGAAGCCAGGGGTCTCAGAGATGGAGGAGAGCAGGGAGAGCATTTACTGTAGGAAGGACCTATGTTGAGGTCCCTCCTAATTGTAATATTCTGTGATTCATTATTAGTGTTTCATCAAGCTCAGCCCCAGAATGTTGGCTCTGTGTAATGAATCATTCTGACCACAGCAATTTATGAAGTACATTGTCTTATGAGGGGTGGAAGTGTCTTATGAGGGCAGGAAGCTTTAGGACCTGCAAGAGTGGAGGGAGCCGCCACTCAAATGAAATCACGACTCTTTAGAAGTCCCTCTCCTCCAAAGCAGCAGATTGCTTTTTGTGGTCATAGGTAGAGTCTGCTGGGTCATTGGCTGTATTGAAGTGGTTCACAGCTCCAAACATCTAAGAACTGCTGGCCAGAAGCACAGCAGTTCATATTGTGCTATCTTTGTAGCCTATTTTTATAAAGGGTTAGTCAGGTTTATAATTAAGTGACTTTCTTTTTGCTAAGTGAAGGAAGCCCCTGTGGCTTTGGAGTGATGCTTGCTCCTGAGAAATGCGTCTATAAGTGCTGATTTGGGTTTTTTCCCAACACTGCAGGACACAAACCACTCACTTTGTCTGAGCGACTTGAGCCTCAAATCCAAGGATTCTGAGCTACGAGAAAATTCTAATACAGTAAGTAGAGTTGTCATCCGTTGAGATATATGGGACCAAAAGCAATGTCAAAAAAACCAAAACCGAAAACAGGCTAGTATTGGCCTTCCTCTGGACTTGGTTGACCTCCATTCTTTCATCTTGGCTATTTGCCTTTCTATGCAGTTCTGCTCTTAGATTCCGAGGACGTTGCTTCTCCAACCGGAGGCTCCTCTGATTTGGTGTCCACCTCCCCCCACCCCAGTAATGTACAACCTTTATTCAGCAAACATTTGTAAGGGCCTACTATGTATTAGGTATCTTATATGATTGTGTGCTTTTCAGTGATTGATTTTTGTGACATTATGTTGAAGGAAAGCTTTGACTCACCATTTCCCCTAGAAAAGAGGCATTTTTGGCCTCAGCTCTGATGGCTCTAATTTGCTCTGTTAGGATTAGGAATGTTCCCACCATCCCAATGAATTCTTGACATGTTTTCACAGATCTTCAGTCAGTGCTTATACAGGCCGTTTGATACAGTTCTCAGAATTATACTAAAGTCTCTCTTCCTTTTGAAGACTTGATTCTTTGGGTGATTTTTTTTTCCCATTTGAAGAAGTCATATGGAATGGCAGTGGGGCCAAAAAAAAATCATCTCCCCCTTGATGAGCCTTCTGATGATGACCCTCTGCCTGTGACTGGACTTACCCTTGGCCACCAGACTCAAGAGCCTCTGCCAGATCTTTTTTGCTCTGGCAGGCCTGCCAGCACACGTCCTCTTTTGGCACAGCCTTGGAGAGCCCGGGGTTCCCTCTACCCCACAAGAGTTGTCAGAGGAAGGCTTGGCTATGTGTGGTGTGGACAAAATAAATAGTCATTAACAACATGGCTGAAGATATTCAAGTAGACTGATGGTCTAGATGACCATGGGTCAGGGATGTGATGAAAGGGATTCAATACTGGTAGAAGGTTAGACTCTATGCCCAGGTGCCTGAGTATCTTGGATTCCAGTGTCCTCTTATAATCTCTCAGATCATCTTAAGTGGCCCTAACTAGGGCTTTGCCTTATAGAAGAATGTTTTCTGGAGCCCTGAGGCCATCAGGCAGGGTAGATAGTAGGCACTGGACTGGTGAACACCCTCTTCTAAAACAACTCCCATGAAGTGATAGAAAAAGTCTACCCCTCCCTGCCAGATTGCCTGACCCTAATAAGCTCCTTCCTGATTAATGAAGATCACAGGAGCAACGAAGCCAATCTGGTGCTTGGAGACCCCTGGCAAAGAGGCAAGAGAGAGATTGATTTCTACTATGTATCTGGAAGATATTGAGAGTGTTACAGAAATACACCTTGGATAGGCCATGTGGTAGAAAAGCCGGGGCCCTGTCTCAGGCTCTAGAACAGGCTGACATGACTCTTGCTGCATGGGATATAGAAAGCACAGTGGACTAGAAATTTGGAGACCTGGGTTTAGTCTCCGCTCTGCCACTAACCTCCTTTGTACCTGTAGGCAAGTTGCCCAGTAATGATTATGGTCCTAGGATTGTAGGTTTAGCATTGGAAAGGATGTTAGAGATTATTTAGTCCAACTTGATAATTTTACAGATGAAAAAACTGGCCCACAGAGTAGGAGTGACTCCTCAGGGCCACAGAGGTGTGGTAAGAGGCAGAGGAGAGGCAGTATGGAGTGAGGGGGAGAAGAGAGAAGGAAGAAGCCCCAAGCTAGAATTAAAAGGCAGATTTTCAAATGCAGCCTTATTTCCATTGTCCCTTCTTCAAAGGTCCCATCTTGTTCCAAAGGCCACGCTTTTCTTGGGGCTCTGACAAGTATTAGTAGAGAGCATTCCTTTTTATTCCCTTTCACATTTTAGCATGTTTCCTTTCCTAGACACATGGCCAAGACCTTAGCACAATTTCACCAGCAGTCATCTTTGAATCAATGTTCCAGAACTCAGATGATACTACAATCCAGGAAAACAAGCAGACAGGTTTGTTCCTTAACTGATCATGAGTTTGGTTAGGGGGGTGGATTGCATGCTTAGTGTTGGTTCTCTAAGGTGGGATCTGTTGGCTCACATGACCTCATCAACCCTTTTCAAAAAGCCAGGGATTTTTGAAATCCTCCTCCCTAGAGCTGTTATATGTGAAAGGTCCAGCTGGCTTCTTTTTTTTTTTAGGAAGAATGGGACTTGTCCAGGGCCCATCACACCCATCTTTGAGGAAGAGGCAGAGGCAGAGGCAGACTAGGGCCCCAGACATGTCAGTGTTACTGACCTGCACTCGGTTCTCTGAAGAGCCTTCTCTCCAGGGGCAGCAGGTCTGCTTATTGCTCCTGCTCCAGAGGGGCGGGCCGAGGGGTGTAAGCCCAGAATGTTCCTAAGCGGAGCTTCAGGACTTCAGATTTTTCTGTTCAGGCAGAGAGCCTCAAACTTCAGGGCCGAGGTTGCCAGAGGAGCTTGTGGCCCTGGCACCTTTTCCAGAGGTGAAAAGCAGAAGCCGCCTGTAGGCGAGGATGCTTCAAGGGGCTGCGACCGCCTCGGGTGCCCCAGTGATTGCTCTGTGTGTGTTGGGGCGGGGAGGGCCAGGCTTGGGAGACTCAGTGCATACATTCTTATTTCTTTTTCTTGCCAGCTGCCTTGATTGAAAGTTTTAATGGTGATACAGAGTCAGTCACCGCTGTTCCACCCTCCACGGGAGATTCAGCATCTTTATCTCTTCCACTTGTACTGCAGCCTGGCATCTCCGAGCCTTCTCAGTCTGCACTACCTGCCTCCACACCGCCTGCTCCTCCTCCTCTGACTGCTCCCTCCATAGGAACTAGTTCCCAGCCACCTGCATTTGGGACCCACCCTGCTATTTTACAGCCTCCAGAAGGGCCAGTTGGCCACAGCACACAGTTTGCTGCTAATCACCAAGAGTTTCTTCCGCACCGTCAGCCACCGCAGCCCCTTGTGTCAGGACTTTCTGTCGTTGCTGGGGCTCCTGCAGTAACAGCAGCACCACCAACTACCACTGAGGCCATGCCAGCTCTGGTTCAGACTCTGCCTCTGGGGGCCACCCCTGTTCTGACGAGCAATCCCACCATAACCATCACGCCAACTCCCAGCACGGCTATTCTGCAGTCCAGCATAGTGATGGGAGACCAGAATCTACAGTGGATACTCAATGGTGCAACTGGCCCCCCCCAAAGCCAAGAGCAAATTGTGAGTACCAGATACTGACTTATGTGAATGTGGAAGGATTTGTACTTGGAACAGTAGAATCCTTGAATCTTCATGGCAAGGAGACCTTCCAGAGCAGCTATGGAAGAAGCTCCTTGAGATCAGGGCTGCTTCCCTGTTTTGTTGTATTCTTAATGTCTAGCATGATGCCTGGCACTTAGAAGGTGCTTCAGTCAGTGTTCATTGATTGATTACTTGATCAGCTAGTCCAATCAAATTTTATAGATGAGACCTTTTGGAGAGCTTTCAGTTAACTTACACAAGTTCACAGGGGTAAATTAGTTTGCAGGTAGTAAGTATCAGAGCTGAGATTGGAACCCAGTCTGAATTTAGCGATCTTTGTACTGGGCTCCAATATCTTTCATTAGAGCCTTATTCAAGAACATTCATACTCAGTTTTTCTATGATAGGGGGATGTAAATTTCAGAGAACATTGGATTAGAAGGTTGTAAAGTTTAGCTCTAGTTATTTGAAGGAATCCCCTGCTTTTGGTTTATTCCCTTCACATAAACCTGAAAATAGCTCTCATGGAACATGTTTCCTCTCTGAGACAAAGCCAGGCTGCTGGAAAAGACTGATTCTTATACCTACTCCAAGGACCCAGGGGACAGCATCTGCCCAGGCCTTTCAGAACTATTCTGAAAGTGTTTTTACAAAATGTTCCTGCTGTAGAGGCTTGTTGAAGCCATCTAGTTCCATCCTTCCCTAAATCCATGTCCTTGATAAGTGGTCTTCCTACCCTGCTTGACCCTCACAGTGTTATTGGCAGGCTGATTGCCTACACAGTGAACATTCAGAAACACAGATGGGCATGGCCTCCACTTGGGGGGATTCTGATAGCTTGGTTTCTGGGTGGCAGGAGTTGGTGGGGGAAGGACTTGGTTCTTTGTATATCTACCCTGTTTTGGTCACCATAAATGTGATTTCATTTTTTTTTTCAGCAACAAGCTTCTAAGGTAGAGAAAGTGTTTTTTACCACTGCAGTACCTGTCGCTAGCAGTGCAGGTAAGTGTACTGCCTCTTTCCTCCCAGAGAAAGTAAACCCCTTAACATAAGTAGTTGACTTGTTGACTTAGTCAGCTTTGCAGCTTTATTATATTTCATTAGCATCACTCAACTCGGCATTCTATCCTGCTTGCTTATTAGAACTGAAATGCTCTTCTTTTTCCATTAGTAAAACTTGAAAAGTTCTGTGCTTGTGCCTTCAACCTGGTAATTTTGAGTTTTATGATAGGAGCAGGTTCTTTCTTTCTCAGAGACAGAAAGGTTGTAAATCTCAGTTTATTGTTGAGGAAAGGGCGAGTGTGCACTCCTTTGCTTCTCTTCTAGTTTCCCTGGGAATTAACCCCTTGGTCCTCAAGCTCCCTTTCCCATCAAGCCTAGCCGAGGATTGTACACACATCAGACTTTGGCCATAATTATCACCGTTCTTTCTTAAGTGATGGCCCATTTTGCTGTGTATGTTATGAGATGTTCTGTATCTGTCATTTGACCCTTACAGTAGCTGTGTAAGGTGAATGCTACACATGTCATTCCCTGAGGCTTAGAGAAGGGAGGGTCACATTAGAGTTAGGGATAGAGCTCGTAACTGTAACCTTAGTCTCCGGCCTTCCAGTCCAGTGCTCTTCTCACTTCCCCTGCTGCCTCCCATGTAGAAGACAGCGACCACACCTGCTTCCCTGACACTCAGCCTGTCCTTGTATGTGAGAGGCATTCGAGGGAGTAGTTAACCTTTTACTTACAGAGAAGGGTCTGTCTTACAGCATAGAGGCAGTTTCTTTACTTTACCTTACCTTTCCTTACCATACCTGATACCTATGAAATTATAGGTCAAAAAAAAATCGCCCCAAACAAGCAGTAGCAGCAAAGATACAACTAAAACCAGGTTTCCAAATCCAGCACCCGAGAGAGTTCTTAACCTGCTGAAGTTTGTGACAACGTCTTTTCAGAATGAGTTTATTATTTATTATTATAGTTTGTTTATTATTTAGTTACATTTTAGTTTATGGTCTATTGAAGTTTCTGGAGCCCATGCTCTCCTCCCATAGAGTGGCCACCATTCTTCCTCTTTGCTCTTTCCCAGGGAGCTCCGTGCAGCAGATTGGCCTCAGTGTTCCTGTGATCATCATCAAACAGGAAGAGGCCTGTCAGTGCCAGTGTGCATGCCGGGACTCTGCCAAGGACCGAGCTGCTGGCAGTGGCAGCGGCAGTGGCAGCGGCCAGAGGAAGGGCTGTTCCTCACCGCCTCCTCCAGAGCCCAGCCCTCGGGTTCCTGATGGCCCATCCCTCCATCTACCCCCCCAGACTTTTCCCTCTTCCACTCCATTGTCATCCTCCTCCACCTCCCCTTCTGGCAGCCGGAGCAGACAGGCAGAGAACCCTTCAGACTCTCAGACTGAGTCATTAAGTGCCATGGACGTATCCGAGTTCCTGTCCCTCCAGAGCCCGGACACCCCATCCAACCTGATTCCCATAGAAGCACTACTGCAGGGGGAGGAGGATATCAGCTTAACCAGCAGCTTTGCTAAATGAAGCGCCCGTGGCTCTCTCGCTTCTGAGAAGAAAGCCTAGCAGAGCTACAAAGAACAGATGGCCTCCCTCTGGGGGTCACAAGTTTGAAGGATGAAGAGGTTTGCTGTTGGGAAGTCATACTTCTCAGACATCATTTCTTTATTCTCATCCCAGGAATGTCCATTTTAAGGAACCGATCTTTGGAGAAAAAAACAACAACAAAAACAAAAAAAAACACAAAAAAAGCTAAGTTATAAATGAACTATTTTGGCTGCACTGTATGTCACTTTTGCTTATTGTCATGTGAACATGGAAATTAAGGTTACTCGTATGCATAAAAATTCTAAATTGAAAGGGGTGTGGTTTCCATCAATCTTAGATTGTTTATTACTTGTATTGGGGCATTTGGAGTTTGGGGAGTGTAGTCTCATTCCAGCTCTCAGGTGACTCTCTTTCCTGGGTAGATCTGAGACTAAGCCACAAACTGAAATGCAAGCCAGTGACCCCAAAGAGGGGAAAGAGTGGTAGTAGAGGAAGAAGCTGTGTGTGTTGGGCAGGACTTAAGTGTGGTTGGTGTATGGCAAGGAGCCTCAGGGAAGGCTGAGGCCAGTGGTTGCAGAAGATCCAGGGACCAGGAAAGCCTGATGTTTGGTGTGGGGCCCAGGGAGGGCACTGACTTGTGTTGGCTGGAAGACCAGCACTAGGATGTTGTGTGTGTTCAGGGTGGACATTAGCAAGGTGGTCATGGTTTCTTTATCTCCTTGGCTTTTCCAGGATCTCTCTTGGCTGTTGGGAGCTATAGGTTGTGGTGCCTTTCAGGAAGGGAAAAGATCCCTGTTTGTACCTTTGAGCTGACTTGCCATGTTTAGCCTAGAGTCTCTTTGTTGACTTTTATCCTCTCTTGGGCCACTTGACCTTTGCAGAGCAAAGGTGGGCCAACTTTGTCAGGATGTGGTGAGGGCTGAAGGAAGTCTTCAGATGGAGTGGAGTTGGCAAGGTAGGCTGCCCTAGTTGGGGTCCTGGTCCGGCGAATCGGCTGCTTCCTGTCTGGTTTTGCCCTGTATCCTTACTAATGCAAACGAGTATAATTTCTCTGTTGACATGTGCAACATAGCTTAGTAATTTGATATGAAAACTATGATCTTCTAACCTACTCAGGGTAAAGTAAAGCAAAATTTTAAAAAAAATCCCCCTTCCACCAAAAAGCCTGAAGTGTTGCAATAAGGTTTTTTTTCCTCCAATTTGGAATGTTTTGTTATGTTGCATTATATAAAAAAAGAAAAAAGGAAAAAAAATGTTTATCTTTATAGAATTTTATCCACTTCTTTCTGGCTATGGCTCCAAGTCATTTCATTTAAGAACAGTATCTCATAGTTTTTGTTGTTTTATGTCAAGGGGCTCTAGTGACTTAGTCATAAGAGTGGTGACATCTTTGCCCATAGAATTCAGAAATTTAGTTCCACCCAGTAAATAGGCTGGGCCTTCTGCCTCCTCTGTAGTCTTTTTCCTTCCTTCTTCCTATTTGGAAGGAATAGGATGTCCTATGAGCCAGAGTATACTGCAGACCCCATATATTTAGGCCAAGGACAACTAAGAGTTTACCTTCTTCCTTCTTCCAAGGGCTTGAATTCCTCATTGACCCCTAGCCACCAATGACCACAAAGATATATTTGCCTCTTTCGTTTCCCAAGCCAGCATTCAGGGACAGCCATGTAGGTGCCCAGGGCAGTCAGTTTGATCTCAGTTTGACTTCAGGTGTTCTCATCAGGATGTTCAGAAATCCTCTGCCTCTCCCCCTCTCCCTACCTCACCCCAGAAAAAGTTGTTACTGTCGTGAGGAAAAAGATAGGTTTTAATCAGGGCAAATAATTTGCCTTTCCAGGAGCAATGAAGCAAAGGCTGAAAGTAGTTGAAAAGGGGAGTAGATGAAGTCTTATCTCCCAGAACGGGGTGGGGGAGGACTTCCTGTTACTGCAATGCGGTACGTTCAGTGATATCACTTTGTGTATAGGAGTCTCCGTAACTTGATTGCAATAGAGAGGCTTCCTTGGAGGAGCTGAGCCTGTGCTGCCTCTGCAGCTGTCCATGCTGTTTTATTGACAGCTCAAAGACCCCCTCCCCGCTCACCCCCTCTCCACACACACCTTTTACAAACTGGGACCATCCTGCTCAGGTCTAGAGGGGTGGGGGAGGAGCCACAGAGTCCTGGGCTGCACCCTCCCACCCCATTCTGAATCTGGATTCAGGCCTGGACCCAGAAACATTGAAAACTGCTCTTTTGATAGTCACATCATTATTTTATAGATGGTTTTCTACGTGCCAACTCTTGTCTTTTTCAGAAATCTGCCTATGCTGCGCAGGGGACCACCAGAGCACAGGAGGAGGAGGATTGTAGAAAAGCCACAGAGTGTGGCTCAGATGAACAGGCTTTTCTTGTTGAACAAGTTCAGGTTCTGTCACTTGGTGATGACCTTAGGATTTGGTCAGGCAGATCATAGAAACCTCACAATCATTAAACAACAAGAAGTTGTCCAGCTTACAGTGATCAGAGTTCTTAAATCCATTCAGCTTTTGATAAATCAGGAATTCCCTTAAAATGGCAGTGATGATAAGCAAACTCGTAAGGCAGGGTCATTCACCTGAGAGGGCAGTCTTCTCTTCCAGTCTCTTCAAGTTCCTATGGATATAAAAGAAACTCCCTTCTTGTCTACATGAACTCTGGGCTGGGCATCCTCTCCAAGCTAGGCCCCTAACAAGGGTGGGGCACCTTGGACCCAGACAGGAGCAAGCTCAGGAGTTGCACTGGGACCAGAAAGACCCTTAGGTGGGAGTTGGGTTTCTTGAACTTGTGAGACTGGGGTCCCCACAGAGACTCAGAGGTGTTATAGACTTTAGAAGAAAAGGCTGCATCTGTAGATTGGAATTGATTTTGGGCCTCACGGCCTAGAAGGGTAATTGAGACATGCCTTATCTCGCTGCTTCTTTGGTGATTGCTTAATACCGTGGATTGGAGTTTATGGGCTGAGGTGGTTGGCAAGGAAAGTCAGCGTTGGCGGGCACCACCAAGCTGCCTTAAACTGTGTTCTCAAACTGGACTGTGCTCCAGATTTCAGTGACAACCAGAACTGCCGGTCCTCAGAGGTTGTGTGTATGTTTGTGTGTGTGTGTGTGTGTGTGTGTGTGTGTGATTGTGTGCATGCATGCAAGCTTGTGTGCTTGTGCCCATCCGTGAAGAGTCTCCTTCTGGAATAAGCAAAAAAGAGGGGGAGGGAATATGATGGGGAGAGGCCTCCTAGCTCCTCACTGTGGGGCTGACTGTGTGTGGCTTCACAGCCGCTTGCCTCTTGGGGAACCGCTGGGTTGGCCACGAGGGTTGGAATTATTTATTGAGTTCTGCCTTTTCCAGAAGGAGTTCATGGTACATAAGGAGGGAGACATGAAGTGTAGAATCCTCCAGGGGTCAGAGGACCCCAGGGAGGGAACCTCCGGGTGTACCTATGGCTTGGAGAGGGTCAGGATGAGGACCTACAGACTGGTTTGGAATAATGGAGGCCAAGGTTTCATTGGAGAGGCTTGGTACAATGCGGAATGTTTTCAGAGAGATGAGTTTGCAGAACCTCATACTGGTATATTAAAGAAATAATAAAAATGAAAAAGCACTTTAGGTTATGTTGTCCTTAACCCGATTGCTGCAATTTCTTTTGTATATATATTTTCCACAAAGTTTTATTTTTTTCTCTGAGAAGATGGAGGCGTAAAGAGAAAAGCACTTAGCTTGGTGCAATACTTGTAGTTTGGTAGATGTTGTCCCATGCAGACCTTGCCTTGGCCCAGGCTCGGTGTTGCTCGGTTCCACAACATGGTGCCCTGTCTGTAAGGAAACACTATTATGCATTCCTAGCAACTAACTACGAAATCTATGCAAACCCTCTCCCTGTTCCCTGGGCTGAAAGGGGGAGAGGGGCTCTCCTCGGAAGAGCTGCTCATCGCTTTTCCCTTGGCCTGTTTGGAGATCACTCCCCTACACAGACACAGCCTCTTTTCAGCTGCAGTTCATTGTCTTTCTCCTGCCCTGGAAGGGCAGTGAGAAAAGCCTAAAGGGAAGGGACAAGTTGGTCTTGGGGCAGAAACTTTGCACCTTCTAGACTTTGATATTGGCAATCAGGGCCATTGTCTTGTTATAAAGACTCCTACAGAGTCAGGGAATTCATTGGATTTTTGTAACTGCAGCAGCACTGTTAAATGTCTTACTGGACTTCCAATCACAAATATTTGTATTGAGGAAGAAGGAACCATTCCTGGCTCTGTGCTGTGTAGCTCTCCTCTTCCCTTCTCTTTGTCCACAGAAGGAAATTCCCTTGGTGCTTGTTGGCTCCAGTAGACTGAGCTGTAGTATTCGCCTCGGCCCTGTAAGCTGATTTATCCGAGGTGGAGGACAGCCCTTAATCCCTTGATTTCATCTTCTCATTGGAAAGTAGGTTCAGAGAGAAGTTTTAAAGTAAAATTCCAACCAAAACAGGGACTGTTTGCTGTAGAGCTAATATCCAAGTGACTTCTTAGACTATGGGCAACCTAGGGAGCTGACGCTTCCTCGTTTTGAGGAAGGGAGGGAGAGAGCAAAAGGAAATGATACCTATATTTCTGATTGGTTAAGTCTTCATTTGGAATGTTCCCTTTGACTTATTTGGAGGGAAATTTTTCCCAGTGTGATCCATAGTTTTTAAGGTGATGATTGTGGGCTGGGCTAATCCTAATTTTTGGTATTTTGTCTTACTGTATCTCCTGTTCTACAGTTGGATTCTGTCTGCACTGAAAATGCAAATTAAACTGGATATTGATGTCAGAATGTATGAAAGTCTAAGCTCTTGTTCTTGTCTCCAGATTTCTAAGCCTGACCTGTTGTGCTCCCAGCAGAGTCTGCTGGGCTTCTTCTACAAAGGGCCCTTTACACTCAATGTAACTTCTGCTGTTCTGTTACAAGAAACTTTTTCATACGACACTTTTCAGCAGAATCAGGCAGGGCTGGGGGCAGGAGGTGGGATGGTGTGGATGGTTTTTTGTTTTTGTTTTTCTCAATATCCTTGTTACTCCAACTGTGGTACAAAGTCACAGTCTTCTCTTGGCCTCTTTCCTTTCCTGTTCTTGTGCCTGCCGCTCTTTCTGCCTGACTCAGCCACCCACAACCAATGTTGTAGTGTTCTGGAGAAAGAGAGAATATTGTTACTGGGGAGTAGCAGGCTCCTTAGGGATGGAGTGGGCTGTGTGAAGACTCCTAGCTCCTGTTTGGGAGGAGGCCTTCTGCTGTGACTCCAGGCTAGATCATCCAACCAGGCACTGAGACTGTTGTTTTCACTTCTGCCACATTTATTATAGGCCCAAGCTTTTGGTAATGGTTTTTAAAATCCTGATTATGTAAACGTCTATATCAAAGGAACTTATTTAAATATGAAACATGGGAACAACTGACTTCCACTGAGCAATGTGAAGATGTTAGTTACAGGTTCAGTACTTCCAAAGGAAGAACCCTCCAAACCCAAAAAAAACCAAGTAAATATGAATTTGTATTTTTGAAGAATGTGAAATAATGGTGTTTGCTTAATTGCTCATTTTGTATAAAGTTAATATTGTACTTTACAAATCTGCTAAGAAGTGGAAATTTAACTTTTTGGAATTGAAAAAAGCAATATTAAATACTAATGAAATCCTAATTAAATGCTTATTTAAATTTGGTAGTGTCAGTGGCATTTTTTCACTTAAGTGATACTGTCCTCCAAATCCTGCAACCTTAGTCACACTGTTGGATGAAAGTTTATGGGCTTCTGACAAATAAACCTTGCCTTTTTCTGGGAGACACCAGTAGCACCCAGTCTACCACTCAAACCACAACAGAGCTGTTTCAGGTTAGAGGCCAAGTAACAGCTTGGGTCTGAAGTGCTCCCGACCTCTTAGACTCGGGGCTTGTACATTCAACACAAAACTGAGAATTCGGGGGCCCAAGAGAATGGGAACAGCTCCAGCTGCTGACAATGAGGGGGACTGGGGTAGTTGGGGGCGGTGGTGGTGAACACAAGGACTCAGATGTTGAAGGCAGTGGCTTGATCCCAAGTGATTAACTCACTGGAGGATGGGAAGAGAGGTAGAAACTCCACCTCATTCCAAGTCATGTATGATCATCAATTCAGGAGAGGGTGGGTTGAAACCAATCCCTCTGATTGTTTTTGTGAGGTTGTGTGCCCTCCATCACTTCACCATAACAGCTCCCTCAGTGGTCCAGAGCCACACTTTGGACCTTCAGATCAGTTTTATTCCTGGGCACCTAAGGCAGAAGTTGCAAAAGTGCCCCTGAGAAAATTTTCACCCCACCCTCCCTTCCTTTGGTAAGGCCTCTAGGAGGGCAGCCTCTGCCCCTTGCCTTTCCTGGATTCCAGATGGACAGTGGAGGTTGTGGGGGATGGTCAAGGGCAAAGAGGCTGGTGAGAGTATGGCTCTGAGGAGGGAGTACTAGAGATGAAAGGGTTAAAACCTAGATTATAGCCTTTGATCTGGGAAGCATGGCAGCTCTTAAGTGAGATTATTTTAGCCATAATTCTCCCCGACACACATCTGTACTATAACCATTACATCATCTTTTCCCCAAAATTCACCCATCTTCTGTTGAGGACATCACCATCTTTGTGGTCACTTCATTTCATCCCACTCATCCAGTCTCTCTCTGCCACATCTCATATCCATCCCCTTCTCTCACAGCTGCTTACTTGATTTCATGCCCCCTTCATTTCTCATGTGGATTCACCTCTTCCAGAAGCAGCCCTCCATGCTGCTGCTGCTACCAAATCGATTTTTGTAAAATTCAGGTCTGACTGTGTGCTCTAGTGGGCTCCTTACTGACACTGAGCAAATGTTTCATTTTCCTCCCATCCTTTTAAAATATATTTTTGTGTAAGTTTTTAAAAATATATAACTATTAGTATAAGGACACAGCAATACACTTTTTCAATCTATCCAGGTGGCTTTTTAAAATTAAAAATTTTCCATTTATCAAGTATTTTTTTACTTCTCCCATATACTCAAGCAAAACAAATGCCTATATTGGCCATGTCCAGAAAAACACATATATGCAATGGAAGGGACTTAGCATTTCTGTAGTGCCTACTGTGTGCCAGGCACTCTACAAATATCCCTTGACCTTCACTATAATCATGTGAGAGCGGTACTGTTATCCCCATTCTAGTTTGAGGAAATGGGCAGATGGAGGTTAAGTGACTTGCCCAGGTTAGAGAGCTGAGTGACTGAAGCTGCATTTAAATTCAGGTCTTTCTGACTCCAGGCCCTGCAATCTACGGGGCACCACCCATCTGCCTAATTAGTGTCCTTGTCCCAGTTCTTGCTGGAAAAAAATTTTGTAACGACAGGCTCACTCAGTCAAAAAAGTTTGGAGACCACACTGGTTTAGAATTGCCCATGAAACATAGCAACACGGGTCAATTCAACATGAATTTATTAAGTGCCCAGCACAGTTCAGAAGTAATAGGACCTTCAAAGAACTTAACAGTTGAATGAAGGAATACACATAAAAGGGAGATGAATTGGGGAGGGGGGTTGGTTGGAGGTCCTTCGGAGGGAGTTCACCACACAGCTAGGTGAAGAAAGAAGATAATGGCTTTCGGGGCCTCCTTCAGTGGGAGCTTTGGGAGGAACCACCCAGCTGAGAAGCGGCAGGGGTAGAGGGTGCTTCCAGTGTGAGAAGTCCAGGGGTGAAGAGGTTTCTTTGGCGTGGGGAAGAGCTGGTACAGCCTGGAGAACCTCTTCTGCCCGCTATAGCAAGGCTGCCTGGGCCTGTGCAGCTGAGGGATGGGTCTGTACCCATACAGCCCCTAGACAACAAGGTTCCAGGGCCATCCTGGGTGCAGCAGAGAACTGTGGCCCCAAGAATATAAAGCTGCGGTTGTTCAATCACAGTCGGGCTGGTGGATGTGAATTTTGTCAGTTGTTCGGCACCTTTTGCTGTAGGCAAGTGTCTCATTGGCCTTACCCTGGATACACCTTGGCACGGGCCTTTCACAGAGGTATAGACAGAATCCAGAGTAAGCACAGTAGATGTCACTGGGCAAGTCAACTAACCTCTGTTTGCCTCAGTTTCCTCAACTGTAAAATGGGGATAGTTAATAGCATCTATCACCCAGGGTTGTTGTGAGGATGAAATGAGATAATATTAATAAAGTGCTTAGCACAGTGCCTGGCATACAGTGGGTGCTTAATAGATGCTTGTCCTTCGCTTGGAGCCAAGTGACCTGTCCAAGCTTCAAGGCCTTCTAACCCACCTCCAGCCCCAAAGCCCAGCCCCTTTTTTGCCAGCCCCTCCTTGCCCCGCCCCTGTGGATCTCTGATTCCTGGAGGCGCGCTGCCCCTTTAAGGCGGCGCAGGAGGGGTCTGCGGGGGCTCACGTCACTTCCTCCCGGAAGTTCCCATTCGCCGATGGTCCGGACGCCTCCGCCTGCCGTGCTGGCGGCCGTGGAAGCCGCAGCTATGGGGTTGGGAGATGGGGCTCTGGCCTCCAGAGTCGGTTGTCTCCTACCCTCCCTACCTGGGGCCCGGCTCTTGCAGCTGCCTCGGTGTGTCGCCGACTCTCGTGCCGGTCGGGCCGCGGGCTCCAAGCAAGACTTGGAAGGTGAGGAAGGCGGCGAGGGGCGGAGCTGTGGCGGGGAATACGCTGCCGGTGAGAGTCTGGCCGCTGGGGGGCGCTTGCGCTGCCCGAGCTGGGAGGGGGGGGCGGATTAGGGGGACGGTGTCCGAGCTGCCTTGGAGCGCGGGGGCCCCTGGGCGGCGCATGCTTTCTTTGAGCTGAGGCGGTGGGTACGATGATCTTTTTCCGGGGGGGGGCCGGGACGCATGCGCCGCCCGTGGTGGGCGGGGCAGCTCCAGAGACTCCTCTCCCACGCCCTCTGCGCTTGCTTTTCCAGGCTGGTCCGAAGCTCTGTCGGCTGCCGTGACCTCGCTCCGCGCAGGCGGGCTGGTCGCCGTCCCCACGGACACGCTGTACGGCGTGGCCTGCTCGGCCTCCTGCTCCGCGGCCCTCGGCGCGGTGTACAGCCTCAAGGGCCGCTGCCAGACCAAGCCGCTGGCCGTGTGCCTGGGCCGCGTGGCGGACATCTACAGGTGAGGCTGGGACCCCGAGCACCGGGGGCCAGGGTCCGTGCGGGGAGCCCACGGGTGGAAGGGGCGGGGCCGGGTCTTGGAAACTGCTTAAAAATGGAGCTGCCCCAGGAGTCCTCCAGAGCAATGTGGAGGCCCACCTGAAAGGGGAGCTGTGGAAATGGTTACTGTTCAGGAGCCTGCGGGGAGTTCAGATGCAGCCTCTGAGTGACCCTCAGGCGAATCGTTTAACCTGTTTGCCTCAGTTTCTTCAGCTGTAAAATAGAACAGGCTGATTGTTTAGATGAAATATTTGTAAAGCACTTTGCAAACCTTAAAACTATATAAATGGTAGCTTATCGTTATCATTGTTGTTCGTGAACATAAACTGCCAGCTGCACAAAGACTGGTCAGACCTTTTACAGCTAGGAATCTATGTATGCAAAAATGCTTTGGGAGTGAGAAAATTAGATTCATTTCATCAGACCTTTATCGTGATATATCCCTGCTGTGTTGTACGTTAAACAGTAAGATAATGTTTCTGTACTCAAAAGGCTTATAGTCCTGACACCTCAAAAATATGTAATTCTGGACAGAGTTTGATCGGCTTAGGGGAGTGTTACAGACGAAGTGTGCTAGAGATTCAGAGAAGGGAACGATCAGTTTTAGAAAAGGGTATTGTGGAAGACGATACTGCAGCGATTTATTTTTTCCAGTTTAACTGCTTCCCTTGCCTCCAGCTTTACTGATTTAGGGATAGGGATTCAACCTGTGGTTTCACTGGTAGAGGGCACTTCAGATAAGGACACTTTTACCGTTACAGGTTGGCACCTTTTCTGAACTTGTAATCTTAGAGTGCCCTTGAGCCATAAGAAGCTAAATAACTTGGTCGGGGTCATAGCCATTTTGTGTCAGAGCCTGGGTTTGAATACAAGTTGCCCTGCTTTTTGAGGCTGGCTCTATAGCCACTGCACTCCTGCCTTCACATGATTGGGCATCCGACATCCCAGACGCATTTAATTTATGCAAAAACTTTTTGCTATTTGAAATGGATAGTTTTATGGGTGAATGATTAAAGCATTAATTAAGTGCTTACTATGTGCAAAACACAGTGCTAAATGCTGGAGTACAAATAGAAAAGTAAGATAGCTCCTGCTCTCAGTGAGTTCACAATCTAATGGGGGAGCCCACATATCTGGAAGATTCAGCTTCAAGTCACATGGAAAGCTCCCATGGTTCTTAGGGTGCGGCAGAGATGGTAGCACTGTCTTCTCACTTTCCACTGGCGAAATCATCGGGTTTTGACACTGGACTATGTGACAGTGCCAAGGATTTTGGTAGCAAGGACTTTCCAGGTCTTGAGTACATATGGCTGGAGCATCCATAGGAGCAGTTACAAGGCAGCTTCACCCTAGGGCTTGCTTCCTGGGCTGACGGTACGGGCTGACAGCATAATTGTTCCCCAGGCTCTTGGTTGGGTTCAGGGTCTTGAACTGTCTCCATCTGGAGGAAATGCTGATCAGGGTGGTGGTGGTTTGACTTGGCTGCAGCATGCTGCTTTCTGTCTCCACCTCGGTCATGATGCCTTAGCTA